AAGTTATTTTCCATGTAATTAAATATTTCAAACAATAATTGATTTCGTGGCAACTTAACTGCCATCTGGCACTTCCGTCGATGGAAGGACCAAAATGGTTCCAAAAATTGAAGTTTAGTACTTTTTTTAGTTCGAGGGTATTTTTAGTCCAAAAATGAAAGTTCAGGGACTGAATCGGGGATATAACCATTAAGAAATTAAGACGGTATGGAAGGGAAAGGTACGTGAACGATACTTACAATTTTCTTTCATAATTTGGCTAAATTCGAGGGTTGGTCCATGGTGGATAGAGAGTCCTTGTAACTTTTTTTTTTTTTATCGTAAAAAACATAATAAATAAATTAGTATTTGTTCGAGTATCAGTTAAAAAATTAACCTAATAATTATATGTTATATTTCACTTTATTTCTTATACAAAAAAATATGACCACTTGAGTCATATAAAAAAATACAATTGATCAAACACTAGCAAAACCATACTCTTTTTTAAATAGTTCCATGCTCCCAATGATAGATTCAATTAATTAAAATTTAAATATTTTAATATTATAGTCTCAAGGTTAAATCTTATTAAGATAAGTTTTTTTCATTCATTTATAACTCGATAGAGAAATTTACATAAAGTGCAAAGGTGGTATCATGTAATTTACAACGTGATAAAAAAAGAGGATATTTCAAAATTGGTCCATATTAGTTAAGTTTGATGTGTTTTGAAGCCAATTGATGTTCAATGGCCTTTTGAAATGACTAAGGGGCAATGATTCTTGTTTAGTTACAATCCCACACATTCAACCTGTCAATATGAAGACAAGGCAAGGTCAACCCACCGAATTCACAAAGCCACTTAATAAGGATTAAGGAGTTCGTCATGGATGTAGTAGGAAATTTAAAATCTGCTATAGATAGCATGCAATGTTTGAAAAGTAGTAAATGGTAACCATAGTAATCTCCATACTATGGGTGGAGGTCTACTGTGGTTCTACCCTGGAGATCACACAGTGGCCTATGTGGTTTATACACAGTTATGATGAAAAGGGGAAGAAAGGTGGAATAAAAATGTTCACATTCCCATGCTTAGCTGAACAACCTTGTAAAGAGCCAGAATCTTTAACTAGAAAGTGTAGTTCAATCTTCCACTCTCCAGTCAAGAATAATGAACCTTCGAGCAATCATCCTTCTTGTAATGGATTTGTGCACTTGTGCTGGGAGTAAATACATGACCTGAGAAGTTAAAAAAATTCAGCTTTTGGAAATTGTGATCCTAAATTTATTGTTCCACTGTAATATATATATATATATATTTTTTTTTTGAATTCAATTTTAAAGCTTCAATGAAATATTAGGAAAATTATGGGGAAAAAGGAAAAAAAAAAAAAATTTTTGTTGAACATGGTAAGTTAAGGGGAAAGAGGAAAATTTTCAAGTAATTAGTGAGAGTCAAACTACTGACCAATTGAACCTAAACATTAAGGTTTGTGTATAAACCATTAGATTCAGAGGGTTAATTCGTTTCACTGTAAATTTATGACTTGA